GTGATATTTCGCGAGGCGCGTTTTGTTTTGAGAGTATAGATCTAGACCTTATAATTGTTTGCATCTCTCAAGATGTATTGCCCCATTCCATTAGAGTGTAAATGTAGTAGGCCAATGACTTTTAGTTGATATTAAAGCACTGGCCTAGACGGTCAGAGAATGGTTAGTATAAAAACGTATAGGCACCGCCGATCATTCCTTTCATCGAAAGGGGGCCCAGCTAGTATTATATAAATATAGTACAGTGGGTGTCGCATTCAACGAGGTTGCCGGGACTGGCTTATTGTCCTCGTTGGATCTGACCTCTCGTTGAACGTGGCTATGGCTACACAAAAGAAAGGAGACAAGTTATTATATTATACAATGTACCAATACCAGTAATTAAAACAGTTGTTCCCCCCTGATGACGAAATTTTCAAACAACATCAATGTGCGCGAGTTTGAACTGTGTTCTCACTGTCATTTCAGCATTTCAAATTTTTTTTTTTTGGAACACTTCTCGTGTGGAAACATATCATCTCACATCTAGGTCAAGATATAGATACATTTGTATCTACAGATAGGCTGGAGCTTGGGTTTTTTGATCAGGGGAAGAAAAGAAAATTGAAAAAAATGAATGTATCGATCTAGACCTACCCATCCATAGTTCCCACCCACCCCCTCCCATTCTTACCATAGGGTAACCCTTGCCCATCCTCTTACTCTTGGCTTTGGGACCCATATTACGAGGAACACTTGATCAATCTAGCAATACAATGTGTTAGGAATGGAGGATTGGCCTTGTGCTTCGCATGAGATGGAGAGAAGGAGAATAATAAGAATTCTTCTCTTTTGGGGCAGTTAATTGCTTTTATTTATTTATCGCAACTTCGTTCTGTTTGCAACCTCGTTGGAGCTGAGGTACATTTGCAAAGATATATAGAGGAATAATGGGAGATTAAGGATTGCCTTGTTGGAGCCGACTTCTTGTTGAATGTGACCTCGTTGAATGCGACACCCACTGTATTTATGCCGTTACACCTCCATCTGCCAGCTTTCTGAATTGTACCACCCTTATTATACTAAAGTAAATTTGCCTGCTGTACCGTCGGGAAATTGACCGCTAGAAATACAACACGGCATACGAAGCACAACGCTCATTGGTTGGGCACTTGTTACTCTTTCTCCCGTGAGAAAGATATAGAGTACAATGTATAGAGACAGAGAGAAGACTCGGCTCTGAATACATGTTCACGTACATTATGTATATCACCAACAAAAAGTCATTTTTCAAAGACAGATCACACAGCAAAATCATATACCTTGACTTTGGGTTGTCAGGGCTATAGAACAGAGGAACTCCGTTGAACCGCCAACCCCGCTGTTCCGTCAACTTAATGCTCGTCCCAAGGATGGCGGAATAAAGAAGGTTGAAATAGTTGAATGTATGCACACGTAAATAGTCAACAAAAAGACACTTTTAAACACAAGTGACTCAGCAAAATCGCTTCCTTTGATGTGGGGCAGTGGCGGCTATTTAACAGAAGAATGTCTTTAAACCGTCAGCCTTGCCATTCTGCCAATTTCATGCTCATCCCTAGGGTGGCGATATAACAAGGTTTGACTGTTCATGTAATTCAGGATGCTTTCCATGACATGGTGAAGTTAATCAGTGAGATAGATTGTTGCTAATGTTAGGGTCTGTTCAAGCATGTTGACTTATGGGTACTTGTATCAGGCTCTCCACACCTCACTTTTAGTTGAGCTTAATATGTGTCTTCTGATGTAAGCACAGAACAGATTTGAGCTCTGGTGTGCATGTTGCATGTTTGTGTTGGATAGTGCATGCCAGGCTGGATGGTACCGCTCACTAGTGGGTAATTTGGTAATTCTGATAGGCGATTGGGATCTCTCCCAGGTGATCTATAAGTTCATCACTTCGGTCGCCTAAAACTTCTTAACCACTTAACTTTCGAATTTGAAAAAAAATTGACGGTACTTCAGAATCATTTAAAGGGTGCACAGTTATATTAAGGAGTCTGAAGTCGCTGTAGTTTAATTTTCAGTTCATCATTCGTTTGATTTAGATCTAATCTTGGGAAAGTTCGTCTTCTATTGATTATTATTACGAGACGCCATTGTAAACAAGTGAGGCTTCTGTTCACAAGCAGTGGGCACTGGTTCCACAATGACTTGATGGTTGATTCTTTTGAGTCTGTTCATTGAACGGGTACCCAGCTAGTATTTAATGCTGAGCATGGAAATATGTATAGATGGACATGAAAAGTTTCGTCTCTATTTAATAAACTTCAGATGACAAAAGTGAATGTTGGCTGTAATTTTTAATAAGACTGACAAGCACTGGTGTTGAATATAATGTAGCTGTGGGTTAATGTTGAAAGAAAAGATCGCTAGCCAGCGTGACATGATTAACACCTTGAAGCCTACAGTCGGTGCACCTCAGCTCCTGACTGCTGGTCAACTGTTAAGATTAAGAGTTAAACTCCCACTATCATGCGCTGAGGACTCGGAGGATTTGTAAGAGGGAAAAGTAGTGCATGGGCTGGGTTTTATGCTGGTTGTTGGGGGCACCTCTGGTAGGTCCTGCCTACTTCTTTACTTTCCCTCTGTTGATTCTGTCTGTCTGTCTGTCTGTCTGTCTTACATTTCCCAGCGCTAAGTGACCATCATTGTGTTGACGCGCTTCTGTTTACTGTTGAGGCTAGAGATGTCAGCAGAGTAAGCCTGATTTCCCATTTGGACTTCTCTGTTGACATCCACCCCATGGCGCTCATATGACCTTATGCAGTTGCGAGCGCTGTAAAACCTTACTGAAACTAACGTCCTCAGTGGAGTCAACGTGGGGGTGGCCACGACATAATGCCTGTGAGTGTGAGACAATTCTGACCTATTTGAAGAAGGGAGACACCAACTAAGTAACCTTTTTTAAACTTAAACCGTGGGTGGTTGGTGGGTGCTCTGATGTGGTTTGTTCCTTCTTTCCTATCAAACACTTATCGTCCTGATCTCTCCTCCTTTTTTTATATTTGTTACTCTCTTGTAACATATCTAATCTTCGGCACTTATATGACCTTATAGTGTTGCAAGTGCCGTAAGACTCCTACTAAAGCTAAGACTTTTTTAAAACCAAAGTGATCCCCTTCACCATAAAATGGGAAATTCAAAGTGGTACACATGTTCATCTAGGGGCAGGGTGCGTGGCTTGGAGGGCATGGATTCCCCACCAAGTGGTTAGGAAATCTTTATTTATAAATAATAACAGGGAATGGCATAGCTGGTCTCGTGGTTAGGCTACTGGACAAGTAATCACGTGATTACGGGTTGGGGGTTCGAGCCTCAGCTCGGTCCGAGGCTGTGTCCTTGAGAAAGACACTTTACATGCATTTCCCATTTGGCTCGGTCCTTTAGAAGATGGACATGTTGTTAAACTCGGAGGTCCCGCCTCTTAAATAACCTAATGGTGTTGATGGGGGCGTTGAAACCAATACATTTTCACAATTTTTAAAATAACAGTCGGAGTGGGTCTAGCTGACGGTTAGATGCCTCCACTTGTAGGTTTTCCCACTTTACTTTCTTTCCCTCTATCTAGGAAAAGAAGTTAGAGAATGGTGTTTGAAAGATTATTTTTCTTATTTTCATTGTCATGAAAATTCTCGCAACTGCAATTTTTCTTTACTTTGATTTTGCTGCGTTATTCTTCAGAATTTTTAACTGTTAGGAACAAATGACTCGGGCAAGAGTCGAAGCCCGTTTCCCAAATGATCTAAATTGTGTCAGTGGGGGAGTAAAACTATGACACCAACTTAAAAAAAACCCCACCAAAAAAATGAAATGCCCTGGTACTAACAAGATAACAACAGCAAAAGAATACAGCGTGTATTAGTATTATTTATAGCATAGTAGGAGAAGGAGCAGCAGCAGTTACTGAATAATAGATGCACTAAGCTCAACACACAGCTCTCATTGACACAGTTAGGAGAAAGATGCTTAAGTGGGTGGTTGGTGGGTGCTCCTGGTGTGGTCTGCTTCTTCTTTCCTATCAAACATCTATCTATCATCCTTATCTCCCCTTCTTTTTTATGTTTGTTACTCTCTTGTAACATCTCTAATCTTCTGGCGCTCATATGACCTTATGCAGTTGCGAGCGCCGTAAAACTTTACTAAAACTAACTAAAAGATGCTTAAATAGCTACTCTTTTTTACCATTTCTAACTGTTGACTGAAACAAGAATATAAAAAGAGTAGTCCTTTTCAAGCAAAAGTTCAGTTATAAGTTGGAAGCCTGCAGCACAGTCTCCACTTGACCTTGATTTTGGCACAAGCGTCGTGCCCCGTAGTGAAAGTAGTGGAACAGGAAGTACATCTCAGACGCAGTGCATGGTCTTGGATAATTAACATACGATTACAGGTTTTATGTCGCAACCCTGCGCTGCCAAGAGTGAAATGCTTGCAACGAAAAGGATTTGAAAACAACAGCAACAACATGCCGCAAACCAACAAACAATGCTTCTCTGGTGCCTGTAGTGTATCATCACCAGTTAGGCTCTTTGATGTTGCATGCAGGTGATATGAGTTTGAATCCCGAGAGGGAAAATTATAGAGTTTCTCCGTCCGTCTGCTGTAATGTTGTATCCCCCTCGGCCGAGGTTGGTCCTGACAGGCAGAGTAGAAGCAGGTATCCTTGTAAATGACCTAATTTGGGTTAGTGAGAGTCTGAAACGATAGCAAATATCTTTTTGTTAGCATCATACTTCAGTAAAGTGGGTGGTTGGTGGGTGCTCTGGTGTGGTTTGCTCCTTTTTTCTTGTCAAACTTCTCTTGTCTTTATCTCCCCTCCTTCTTTTTATATTTGTTACTCTCTTGTAAGACCTCTAATCTTTGGCGCTTATATGACCTTATTTGTTGCATGTGCCGTAAAACTCTTACGAAAGCTAAACTTCAGTAAAGCTCTTCTTTACAGCAGTAACGACCCTTCATAAGTTTGGAAATTATATTTACAGAGAGAGAATGGAATGGAGAGAAGGATGCTGGAACTTGGAAGCCGAAAGAGAAGCAGACAGGAAAAGTGAAGAAAGTGAAGACTCCAGGAGGTAGGCCTATGCTCAGTCTATGTTTTATAATGGTGGCTCTTCACCAACTGTTTACTCAGATTTATCTTGCGCAAGTGAATGAATGAAGGGTGCCTTTTAAGAAGGGTCCTCCTTCTTTCCTGTCCTCTTTATTTCGGCCCTTCTTGCTTGATCCCAGCACCACTAATCTATTATCTATTTGTGGTGGCCGAATTTTGCTATTCAAAAGGCTTTTTAACGGCTGCATCGATCGACATGCGGTTTTCGCCAAAAAATTCTTTAAAATATTCTCCAGAGCATAACGCCCTTCGTTTTTTCAGTTTTGAGACAGTTTTACTCCAAAAAGCTAAATTTCTTTATTTCGCCAATCGCTTTTGTAGGCCGACGCTTCTTTCCCTGTAATTTTAGAAAATCCGGAAGTGATATTTCGCGAGGTACATTTTGTTTTGAGAGTATAGGTCTAGACCTTATAATTTTTTGCATCTCTCAAGATTTACTGCCCCATTCCAGTAGAGTGTAAATATAGTAGGCCAATGACTTTTTTAAAGTTGATATTAAAGCACCAATTATTCCTTTCATCGAAAGGGGGCACAGCTAGTAAACTATTACTGTGATGATGCACTTTGCCTCTAACTTGTAGCAAAAGGGGAAATCATTTGATCGTGTTATAGTGTTTGTGACATCTTTAACCCCGTTCTGGGTCATATAAAACTGCCGTCTGCTTTGAACTTTTTGAGCTATTTAATTTGAAAACTGTAGTGGCGGGTGGTTGGTGAGTGCTCTGGTTTGGTTTGCTCCTTCTTTCCTATCAAACATCTATCGTGGGTGGTTGGCGGGTGCTCTGGTGTGGTTTGCTTCTTCTTTCCTAACTATGAAACATCTATCGTCCTTATCTCCTCTTCTTCTTTTTTATGTTTGTTACTCTCTTCTAACGCCTCAAATATTCTGGCGCTCATATGACCTTATGCAGTTGCGAATGCCGTAAAACCTCTACTAAAACTAAAAACATCTATCATCCTTATCTTTGCTTTGTATCTTACTCTCCAGTAACACCTCTTACCTTCGGCAGTTATAAGACCTATTTTGTCTTGCAAGTAACATAAATTTTACCAAACTAAAATCTAGAGCAGCGCTCTACCTTTGATATTGAAGTGAAGTGCGTTGTGAGGTGAGTGTTAACAGAAAGGAAGACAACGTCATTTTTGATAGTCTTAGCCTTACTCTCTTTGGTTTTTCTATCTTCATCCATACTGTCATCATTTTTCCTCTTCTTCTTTTGCATGTTTGTCTCTCTCTTGTGAACTGCTATTTCCGGGGTGCCTTGATAGTTGAAGCAGGCTTTGTGCTGTTGAGGCGAGAGAGGTGAGCAGAGTAAACCCGATTCCCCGTTTGGGCTTCTCTGTTGACATCCACCCCTTGGGTGGATTGTTGGAAGGGGCTCTGGTGTGGTTTGCTCCTTCTTTCCCATGAAACAACCATCATCCTCGTCTCTCCTCCTTCTTTTTTATGTTTTTTAAGAGAATACTCTTGTAACACCTCTAATCTTCGGCAATTTTATAACCTGATTGTGTTAGAAATGCAGCAAAACTCACACTAAAACTAAAACTAAACTTTACTTAAACAAAATAGCATTAGCCTAGTTCTCTTTGGCCTTATTTCACCACGACAATCGTCTTCTCCTCAGCACCGTCAGGCAAACGGGACAAAATTGAGAAGAGCGACAAGAACTCGCGCAAATTTATCTGCGACGTGTGCCAGAAGGCGTTCAAGCAGCGCCACCACCTGACGGAACACAAGCGGCTGCACAGCGGAGAGAAACCCTTCCGCTGCTCGTACTGCGACAAGCGCTTCTCCCACTCGGGCTCCTACAGCCAGCATATGAAGCACCGCTGTAAGTACATCGAAACTGCCATGCCCAAAGACGAGGAGGAGGCTTTGGCGCTGGTTGGAAGCTTGCAGCCTGAACAGAGTCCGTGAGAGGGGGGAATTTTTTACCCCTTTCCTCTCCCACGCACCCGCCTTCCCCCAAAGTGTCTTGGTGTCTTGCAGCCCGTCAAAATGAGGCTGAGTTCCGTGAAGATTGTCGTAAAAAATCAGCCCTGAGAGTCAAGTTATGGTGCTTATTTCATATTTAATATAATAAAACTATAGGAACATTGTATGTTTGTGGAAATAATCTTTCAACAGGTCTTTGACTTTGAAAACTGTACTGAAGTAGAATGGAGTGTTGGAGCCGTGCCACACCCTACTGTCTACATACACTTCTCTTTTACCTTAAGTTTCACTAGTCTCCCCCCCTCATCTGATATGCTCACTTTTGTTTCTTTGAAGCAAAAGGGGTCGCAAAAGAGTCATCCCTTCCATGTCTGACCACTCTTTTTGTAGGCAATATCGTCCTTATTTTTACAATTTTGTTAAGTCCATGTTAAAGTTAGAATTTATGGCAAAATGCTACTTACCATTTTTTTCCCCTGTGTCGAGGTCTGCTGTTGTAATTTGAATGTATTTTTTTTTAATGGATTGTTTACAGAAGTGAATGCTTTTTCGTATTGTAGAAAATAGGTCAATATATATATGTACTCATTGGTGACTCAAAAAGCAACGATTTTCTTCATGAATCTGAAGTTCGGAAATTGTCTGGATTTTTGCATTTTATATAAGAATAAGTTTGATACAAGATGTATTAGACGGTATGATCCATAAATTTTGAGTCCTTGTGCACACGCGTCCCCGGAGTACAAGAAGTTCAGGATATTTACTTGTGGCTACTTGGCACCTCTGGTGACTACAGATACCACATAGGTCGTCACTTTGTGCTGGGAGTCACCACCGTAAAGCTCGGAAATTAACCATAGCCTCGTGAACTCGGTGCTACTTTTAAAAACTGAAATTTCTATGAAAGGGCCAAATCAAAATTTATGCATATGAAGAGCTGCGCTTTGCTGCACTCTCGTGTTTCCTCTGTATACAGAACTATTATACAGAACTATCAATGTAGTTCTGAACTATAGTCTAGTCTAGTAACGTTTGTTGAGGTTGCCTGTCTGGTCCCTCAGTTTGGTCCAATTCCGTCTAAATGAGGTAGCCGTTCGCTTTGGTCTAGTTATGTTTATTCAGGTAGCTCTTTACTTTGGTAAGTTGTGTCTTTTGACTTGGCCCGTAACTTTGGTGTAGTTTTCTAGTTGCGTCTTGAGGTGGCCTTTCGCTTTGGTCCGGTAAGATGTATTGACTTGGCTCATAATTTTGGTCTTGTTGTATCTATTTACGTAGCCTGTAAGCAGTGAGTTACCACGCTAGTCATTTACATCATCACATTGTTTTTTGGAAGTAAGGTAAGAATCTAGTCAGTTCTGTGACTTGTTCTTGTCATGATAGTCGTCGTTTTTTTAAGGGGTCTGTTAAATATTTTGAGAACAAATTTTTTTGCTGTGGTGCTGTGACAAAATTTATATATAGATCTATATGTGGACCGTACTTAAAAAATTTTTTTTTTTGACTTAGTGGAATTTTGTCTTGAATAATCTGATATTAAATGATTTATATTTCAGTGAGGCTGAAAGTTTTGTTTTAGATTGCTACTTTGTCCATCCATTTTTTTTTTAGTTAAACAAAAAAAAACCCACCCAGCCTCCTCTTTTCTATAGAGGCATAAGACTTGACTGAGGCTGCCTAAGCACTATTTTCTTTTTTCATGTTCTGTGAAATTCTATTCATTTCTGAAATTTATTGATGTTTTATTTTTATGTAAAAGCAATGATAACAATCGTTGTATTTTTAAGTTTGTTGTCATGACTGCAAGAATCTCAGGCCTGCAATATCAAAGAAATTTTTGTGAGCTGCCTCTTTTTATTCTTTATTTGCTTTTCAGGTAAAGTCAGACAGAGACTAAAATATTTGATGCTGAAAATGGTTGAAAAATGATGCTGAAGAACAAAGTACTTGTATAATACAATTTTTATTTAGTGCCTTAACACCCTTTTACTGCTGATATTGAGGAAAAAAATGTATGATATACTTGTATGCAAATGTATTTTCATTTACACATATCGACAAGGAATGATTGTACAATGTGATTTTGCTGTTGCCCAGTTGTTGTTTTTTTGTGGTTAACGTTTTGCCTTTTGAGAAAGTGTTATGTGGTCAGCCAACTGTTTAGATGTACCAAGCCCCGAAAGCAAATTTTTCCGGAGGGAGAAAAGAAAAACCTTTTTCATTCTTTTAGCATTTTACCTTCATTATGTGTCTTTTTTTGTTGTTGCTTTTTTCAATGTTTAGATTTTGCTTTTTGATAACATATTTCTGGAGCACATGTAACTAATACCACAGTTTAAGAAACTCGTTTTTTAAATATTTTTTTATGTGTAAAATGTTGGGCCTAGTACATCTAAACAACTGGCTGAAGATATTTACACGTCTTTTCATCTCTATGCCACTCCATGTCAAAAGTCAGAGAAGCAAGTGAACAAATGTACAGTTAAAATCGTCCGAGACCGCGTCCCATTGTTGAGGAGAAAAGTGCATCTTGGATAGATAGTCCCTCTTGGACAGAGTCATTATGATCTATATTTATTATATTTGTGAAAGTTTGTCACTTTGGTCACCTAAAACTTCTGAGCGACCCAACTTTCGAATTTAAAAAAAAATGAACGGTGGTTCAGATTCATTTAAAGGGTGCACAGTTATATTAAGGACTCTGAAGTCACTGTATTTTCAGTTTTTCATTTTGTTTTATTTAGATCTAATCTTGGGAAAGTCCGTCTTCTAAGACGCCTTTGTAAACAAGTGAGGCTTCCGTTCACAAGCAGTGCGCGCTGATTCCACAATGATTTGACGATTGATTCTTTTGAGTCCGTTCATTGAGCGGGTATCCAGCTAGTTATAATATCATAGAAAAAGAAAAGAGAGCACAAGTGGGGAAGTGTTCGTTTGTACTGGTGATTGTCTCGGACTGGTGGCCATTAGAGCAGGTTTTATTGGATAATTGTATGTGCCGCTCTAGTCTGTTCTAGTCCCAAGTTGCTTTAGGTGAGCACGAATACGACACAGAAAAAATAACAAAGATAGGAAATGAACCGCCGAATCAGCAGATGGGAAGCATGTGGTGCGACCTTAAAGGTGGCACTCTCTCTCTCTCTCTCTGTCTGTCTGTTCACTCGATCTCTGTCTGTCTGTCTGTCTGTCTGTCTGTCTGCCTGTCTGCCTGTCTGTCTGTCTTGTCTCTCTCTCTCTCTCTTTCTCTCTCACTCTCTATCTCTCTCTCTCTCTTTCTCTCTCTCTTCCCCTGTACACCACTGTTTCATTCATATGGGGGTCCAATAGCAAGTGAATGATGGCTGTATGAGGCTTTTGTATTCATTTATGATTTACCTTCCAGTACCAGCGTCTTTGGTGTAGCTGTTAGGCACTTCTCTGTTGCATGCAGAAGACCTGAGCTTGGTTATCCAGCGGGGGAGGGAGGGAATTTTTTATCGAGTATCTTGTGGTTTCTACTCGGATGTTGTATCCCTCTCAGTCCGGATTGACCCTGACAGGCAGGGTCGAAGCCGGCCTCCTAAATGATTTAAATGTGTTGATGGCATGAGACTTAAAACACCACATTAACATTTATGAACATTTTATTTAAAACATTAGCAGTCTGCATAATGTGTTATAGACTAATAGTTGTCGGATTTCACTGGGTGTTTTTTTTTGGCTTTCGTTAATATGTGTATGTAGTCAAAATTGTCAAATCATTATTTGTTCAACAAGATTATATGAGCACTCATGAACATACAATCAAGGTCATGCATTAATTGTAAATTATTCACTCACAGTTCATGGTGGGACCAGTGATGTTTACTGTATGGATCTGCATTTAAACCACTCATTTATTTATGGAAACTACATTAGCTTTATTGATTTAGAAAGTACTAAAGTTTGCTTGTGAACTTGGATTTCATTTATCTTGCAGCTGATTTTATCATCTATGTGCATGTACTTTGTCCTTTTTATTTTTGGTCCTTAGTTGTGTTTGTTTTATATCCTGTGCTTTTATTGCTAAAGGTCAGAGCATATTATTATGCTTTGAAAATGATTGTTGCTGTTGATTCTAGTCTGCCCAATCAAAATGATCTGCCCCATGATGTTTCTGTCTGTTTAATGTGAGTGTGGCCTCAGTCAGTGTAACGGTAAACCAGGGTGCTATTGATGGAACTTTTCTGGTGTGCTCCTTTACAATGTCAGATTATATTTGTAAACTTTAGACATTTAATGTCAAAATATCTGTAAAACTTAGATTTGTTATCATTATCTCAAAATATTTGTAAAATTTAGACTTTAATGTCGAAATATATTTGTAATATTTATGCTGTACTTCTTATTCTTAGTATAACAAATTTGTAAAATTTTATCGGTATAAAACCATTCAACGTTTTTAGCCCGACAACCTCAGCAGAGTAGACGTATTGTTCGGGTGATGACAGGGTATTTGAAGGGAGCTGGAAGCTTCATGTATGGGGATTTTTTTTTTTCTAGTCTTTTTATTTCCGTGTCTTACTTCAGTGTCGTAATTTTGTTAATGAAACCTTGTACAAATTGTAATACTTAATTAAGCTCTACAGTTTCGCTCTAGATTAAATTTTTTATTACCAACAAGAGCCTTTATTTTCATGGGAGCCTTGTCCCTTGCTCAGATCCTTGTGTTCCGCACAAATCTTTGCTGTCCTGAAACATCGTACTGTATATGTCACGACACGGTGGAATCAAGTGCTTGTCAATTTTTGAGCATATTTAGTTATTGGCATCATCTTTGTTCCTTTGTCTTGCTTTTAAAGAAAAAAAAATATCCATCTACCTTCAAATGAAGAGGAGATATTTTGGAATGAAGGAAGTTGGGGTCACCTGGTTTCAGAGGTAAAGTTAGTGAGAAAATGGCATCCAAAGTTTGGAGCTGATGTTTGTTTGTGTTGATCATTGTATCTCATTTTCTACAATTGTTTCAGCGAATTTGATCTTCAAAATGGCCACTTTCCTATGTGTTATTTGACTGCATACTTTTACTAGACGAGGTGTGTGCAAATCTCTTTCGATGTTAGAGGTTCTAAGTTATTTTTTCACCCTTTCACTCATGATGGGCGCTCAGTTAGCTCTGTTGGTATCAAGCTGAACTACAAAGTGGATGGCCTTGGTTCAAATCCTAGACTAGATGTTTTTAAATTCAGGATCTTTAGTGAAGTTTTCAAGGTTCTCAATTCATGTGGCTCGGTCCTATCAGAGATGGATGTTAATAAATTCGGAGGTCACGCCTCTTAGATAACCTGACACAGTGTAGATCGAGGTTTTAGACCCATACACTTACTTTAACTTTCCCTCATGAGCTATTTTCCCTGGTCTACATCGGAGAGTCCTTTGTAAACGTTGCACCTCCCTCATTCAAAATTCTCCTTACGTTGTCTTTGATTGTGTCAGATACTGAAATTAGGCCCTAATTGGCACATATATAATAGTCACTCTTTTGTGTATGTTGCTGCACTCTTTCCAATGGCTATCAGCAGCCACGATACTCCCAATTTTACATGTAAGATGCCAGTAGTTTGTACGTAGAACGTACATGCACAACACAAAGGATATAGTACTTTTGGAATTTTATGAGTTAAAAAAATTGTGGCGTACAAATTTTTGTACAATTTTAAATATTTTTTCTTACTGTAAACTCAAGAACTGTGTCCTCGCGTCGGATAAATGACAGAGTTGCAGGATCTGAAATTTGCACTATAGGATATAGTTTGGCTAAGATCTGACGGTGGATGAGAATATTTTGAATGGATGATCATTATAAGGAAACCTTAGTTGCACGGCCACATGATCTTGATTATGTAGTTTTGTGTCTGACATTGTATACTTATGCACCTAATGTACTTAGTGTGATTAGTACATATACTATACTACTTAAGACTTGTTTTTTTTTTTTTCCTTTTAATCACATATTACACCTTTTAGATCAATGTTTTTTGTCTTTGAGGTCTCATTACTTAATATATTTACAGAGGCAACTGGTTTGTTCCTTGTACATATCAAATTTTTGACTATCTAATAAGCAACCTTTCTGGCGGGTCGTTGTATCTCTTTAAGCCCAAGTTGGCCCTGACAAGACGGGTCAAAGCAGACCGTCTCGAAAAGATCCAAACAGTATTGAAGGTAAAAATTTTACATGCTCTAACAAAAAAAATTTTTTTTTTAAAAATTGGTCACGTGACATTTAACTCGGCCATTAATAATGTGAGTGAGGACTTTCTAGCCAAAATTTCTTGCTGTGTATTAATCTCAAAGGGTGCTTGTTTTGTGCCACCAGTAAAGTTAGTTATTTATGTTTGTGACTGTTTTATGATGATCCCCTGGGGTTTTTTCCCCCCAGTATAATGTCAGTGCTTGTGGGGTAATGTTGAAGCCTGCTTCTTCTCGTACGCTTCTGTTTTTACTAAGTGAACTTTCTAAGAACCACAATTTATATATATGAACTTTTACACCGGCATCTTGTGAACTTACAAGAACTTTTCTCTTCATCAAGTTGTGACACTGGTTGTTTACTTTTAAAGAATTTATTGGGTTTTGAGTTTTTTTGGAGAGTGTGGGGGGGGGGGGGGGGGGGGTGTTATTTTGTTTGTTTTTGTTTGCACTGAGTCATTCTAGTCTGCACAAGAGCCATTGGTTTTCTCTGATTTGGTACAATACTAATACTGTGTAGCGTCGACAAGGTATTCGAATGTACTAAGCCCAGAAAGCTTTTCAGGAGAGAGGAAGAAAAAACCCTGTTTCTTTTTTTCAACAATCGTTCCTACAGAATGTATCCTTTCTTGCTTTTTTTGACATTTATAATTTAAATTTTGACGAAATATTTCTCGAGCACTGGCAACCAATACCACAAATTAAGAAACTGCATTGAAAGAAAAATTCAAAATTTTGGGTTTAATACATGATCTGAACAGCCTGCTGACGATAATCATCTCTATGAAGTGTGTACCAGTGTTGGAGAGTTGTTGTCATCTGTATTGTGGTGTGTGTCTCGTTGCTTGTGTCTCTTTGTGTATTGCTGTGTGATTTATGGTGTATGTCTCAATGCTTGTGTCTCTGTGTGTATTGCGGAGTATATCATGGCCTTTCCCCAAGAAAAACAGGTAACTCCAGTGATTGTTTCCTGGTCCTGTGAAGCAAGGAATGTCAAAAGAGATAATTTGATCTTTCTTCCTACAGCAGTAGCATTCTTGCTCTTTCAACGTTTACTATAAGATGTGTTGCTGTTTCTTTATGGAGGAGGCCTCGCCTCTAGTCTTAAATAACCTAATAGTGTCGAAAGGGGTGTTAAACCTATACCATTTCACCATTTTCTAAAAGTAAAATGGTATTGTGTAATCTTTTGTGTTTGGAGATGTCTTTCTGTTTGTTTAGTTTTTGTCAAGGATGCATGATTTTTTTTTTTTTAATTGTTGGTAGGAGGCTTGAAATATATGATCTACCTTTTTTAAAAAGCTATTTATCATTATTATTACTGTAATGACAACAACTACTACTACTATTATTATTATTATTATTACCGTATTGTTATTATTAAATGGAGTTTCTTTCAAGGGTTGTTTTTAGTTGGGAGGAAGCTGGTAATGTATGAGTATGATCTACCTTATTATTTATTGTTACTTTTACTACTATTGTTATTATTTATTTTTTAAATTATTTATACTATTATTATTATTTATGTGGAGTTTTGGTCAAGGTGTTTTTTTTGTGTTGATGGTTGGAGGCTTGAAATGTATGATCTAAATCCTGCTTTTAGTGGAAAGCAGGACAAAATTTTAACAAGGACTCATGGTGTCTGGGCTGTTGTTCTTGTTATCTATCCAGCAACAGCTGGGCTCTTGCACTT